ATACATAATAATATATACTAAAATTTTGCATATAACTTTATTTTTATATGATTAAATAAAATATAAATTTTTATTAAATTTGAATTATTATTGGACAACATTTACTAGAAGTAATATTGAGCAATTAAATAAAAAAGATATCAAAATTAAGTAAAATTTATAATAATAATATATATTAAAATTTTATACTTAAATTTATGTTAATATAGGGATATAGAGTATTAATTTTTATTAAAATTCAATCATTATTAGTAGGATTCCTTTAATCGAATTGAATCAAATTGAACTCAAATATTTGATCAAATCAATTTAAATCAAAGATTTATCAAATCAAATAATAAAATTATTCTAAAGTTGTAATTAAGAAAATTATTAGTAATTGCACTAAAAAATTTCAAAGATAGCTTTTACAAAGTAAGTTTAGTAACAGGTAAATTTTTACTATTAAACTTAATAAAATAATTCTGCAGTTTCAGCTTTACTAAGAAAACTTAGTAATAACCACTATTATGACTTTGATTTTACTAAGAAATCTTAGTAATAATTATCATCTTGACTTCATAATTATTTTATTAGTAAAAAACGTTTTTGAAGTCACGAAAGCATTTTTTTTACTAAATTTCTTAGTAAAAAATGTCTCCAAAATCACGAAGGTATTTTTACTATGTTTTCTTAGTAAAATAGCATCTCTAAAACTGCAGAAGTGTTTTTTACTATGTTTTCTTAGTAAAATAATGTTTCTGAAACTGTAGAGGCATTTTTTACTATTTTTTTTAGTAAAATAATGTCTTTGAAACTGTGAAGGCATTTTTTACTTTTTTTTATTATGTTTTCCTTAGTAAAAAACATTTTCAAAGCTGCAGATGTGCTTTTTACTATGGATTTCTTAGTAAAAAAAAGCATTTCTAAAGCTGCGAAAGTGCTTTTTGCTATAGTTTTCTTAGTAAAAAGGCATTTTTAGAGCTGCAGAAGCGCTTTTTACTATAGTTTTCTTGATAAGAACCACTTTTATAGCTTTAAAAATGACTTTACCATTGATTCAAATCAAATCAAATATTAATTTAGATTTGATCAAATAAATTATTCTTTGATTTGAATTTGATCAAATTGCATTGTAGAACCCTAATTATTAGGTAACATTCACATTAAGCAACCTTTTACAATTAAGGTATTAACATAAGCTTTTTTAAATTTATTAAAGATAATTATAAAATCCAATATTTCTATTAAATATTATTATAGTCTTGCTATATTTGAGTTTGAATTCTATACTGATTATTTATATTATACTCAACTTGTTCTAAAAGAGTTTCAACATTTTCATTTTCATTTACAGTCAAACCTTGATATAGCGAACCCTTGATATAACGAATTTTTAAATCAAATATATTAAATTACCTTACTATAGTGAACTAACCTATTAAATTCTTTAAAAAATTCATTATAAGCTTATAATAAAGTAGATATCCAGATCCTAGAATTCGTCATATCAAGAGTTCACTGTATTTTTAAATTATTTTTATTATTTTTAATTTCAGATATTTCATCATTTTTTAGTAATTTAGACAATCTCTTATTTAAGCTATGACTTTATTCTTAATGCTTTCTGATAAATAATTAAAACAATGTTTATATTTTTCATAAGAAAACTTAAACATTTTTTATAATAGCTATGACTACATATTAAAATAATTATATTTGATGAATTTAAATTATTTAATGATAAGCAATGTTCTGCATCACATAATTTATCATCAGAAAGCAATTTTAAAGTACTCTAAACTAAAGGAAGAACCTTTATATCTATAATTTTGTCATTAAAACTTGGAAGTTCAAAAGTTCTATTATTTTAATTTTTAGTTTTTCCTAAATTATGAAAAATTTTATCAAAAAAAGATAAATAATGAAACTTTTTTTTCTAATGATATTAATTTAACTTTTGAAATATCAGAATTTTTTGAATTAACATATATTTCTTTAAAACTATTATTATTTCTTTCAAGATCAATAATTTTTGCTTTTTGAATTATTTGATTTTCTAAATTTGATTTAATAGTTTGATATTGAAAAGAGCTATAGAAATTTTTAACAAAATAATTATTAAATATTAGTAAATATTTTTTAAAATATCAAGTATTAGATGTTTATTCAATATTCAATAAAACACATTACTTAAGAATATAAGTGGTGTTTTATTATAATTGTGTTTTTGAAATTTTTGAAATAATACCTAAATTTTTATAATATTTTCTAATATTCTTCAAAAAATCTACATTTAAAAAGTTTAACATATATATCTAATGTAAGTGATATAGAATTATCTAATAAATCTATCATTATTAAATATTCTATATCTTTTATATTTTTAAAATGATTAATAACTAAACTATAAAATATTTTTCTATCAATAAAAAGTTAAATTTAATTTAAGTTTAATAAGTATAGACTTTGGTTTTTGTGCTAAAATTTTATTTTTTCCAAATAAATTATAGTATAACATTTTAAAAAATATATATTTGAAATAATGTTTCTCTACTATTTAAAGAAATATGAAGTGGCCCAATCATAGGTAAAATTTGTGATAGAATTCTGAAATTATCTTACTTTTTAAATCTTAATGTAATAACTCTTCTTAAATTTACTTAACCAAACTAATTACATATTGTAGAAATTACAAAATTATTTAAATAATCTTGCTTTTCTATTTTTTTAACTATATTAAATACAATATTTGCAGATTCTATATAATCATTTGTATCGTATGATAGATGCAAAATAAAATCTACTAATTTGCTATTTTTTATTAATTTTAATTCTTGTTGATTTTAAATACAATCATCATAATTATAAATAATAAGAAATTCCATTTTATTTTCATAAGAATCATCAGATAAATATTGTTGCTATTTTTCATTTAATTGATAATAATTTTTACCTAATTTATTCATAAAACTAGTATTAATATAATTTATAATTAATTTAAAATCAAGATTATGAATTGGAATATTATTTAATGAATAATAAGGTATTTTTAAAATATTAGAATTTGAATTTAATAATATTGTTACAAAATGATTAATATCATGTATATTTAATAAAGTTGGTTGATTTTGTTGATAAATATTATGATAATAATCAATATTAAATATTAATATATTTTCAATATTTTGTAAATAATAATCATTTGCAGTATGCTGATGATCTTCTGAATTATAGCTTTTGTCAATTTACTATTCTTTGAGAAACTGATAATCCTAAATTTGCAAGTTTATCAATTGAAAATAAAGATGCTTCTGAAGTTTTTAAATATAATCCAATATTTACTTTAATTTTATTTATATATTTGTTATTAATTCCAGCTAAAAAGTAACATAAAGATACCAATTTTCTTTTATTATTATTATTAGTTTTATCAGATTTAGTATCAGAATTAGTTTCTTTATATAATTCATTAAAAAAACCAATCAAATCTATATCTGTTATTTCTAACATATTTTTAAATTTAATAGGATCATAAATTAGTTTTTGATTTAATTGATATTGATTTTTATATAAAATGTTTGACATTTTTTTAATTTTTTCACTTAAATTAGCTTCATGTAAAATTGCTATTTATGAAATTATTTCGATTCTAATTGTTTAAATTCTGTTTGATTATAGAAAATATTATTTCTTAATACATAAGTGTGAGTTTCAATTTGCATTATATTATTATCATTTTTTTTTTAAAAAATTAGTTCACTATAATTTTCAATAGTATTATAATCAGGATTCTCTTTCTATATATACTACAAATTTTATTATTTTCATTTAATTGTAAAACTAAAATTAATTTTTTAGGAACTTTCTCAAGACTAAGTTTTTTTGATTTTTTATTAGAACTTTTTAATTAACTTTTTATATTCATCATGTTTTGGATGAAAACAGGTTTCATTGTATTTAAGATTATGAGTTTTATTGATAATAAATTTATTATAATGAGTTTTACATAATTTCATTTCAACTGTAATAAACTCTTTTTATGTTATTGGAATTATTGTATAATTAGTAATTTATATAATTATTCTTTTATAATCAATATAATTAAAATTGTAAATAGTTTCTGTTAACATATTTATATACTATTTAGTTTATAATTATGGTTAAAAAGTTTAAATAAATATTTAAATTATAAATATATCTTTATCAAAAATTTCTCTTACTTATTTCAGCTATAAATTGTTAAATAGTTAAAGAATATATTCTAAAAATTTTAAGTTTTGTCTGAACATCTATGGTTTCACCTGAAGCTTCAAAGTTTAATTAGCTTAAGGATCAATATGATTGATACTAATTAAATTATTGAAAATTTTGGCACAATACCAATTTTTGTATTTTATATTCTAATATTATATAACATTTATACTAAACTCTTGTTAATATAAACTATTAAATATAATAGTTAATATGATGAATTTGAATATTTTTTAGAGAAATCTAATACTACAATAGTTAATTATAGTTGTGATAGATGTGATAAAAACTTTTCAAATTATGGAAACTTAGACATGATTAAGAAAGAAAATATTAATGTTGTCAAAATTTTTCTGAATCTATTACTAAACTAAAGCCTATTCAAATACTAATACCTAATCCTATTCATTCACAATCTTTTGAACTACAAGCAGAAGTGGTTACTTCTATTCCGCAGGTTAAAGATCAAGAAGAATCCTAATAGTCTATACCTAAAAAAGTGATTGAAGAAGAGAAAAACCTTAAGTGGTTACCCAAGTTCCTGAAACTTCTAGCCAAAAAAAAAGCCAAAAGTGTTTAATCTAACTATTGATTCTAAAGTAGGACCAGGCCTAGTAACCTAAGCCTATAGAGAAAGTACATCAGAATCTAGCATGATTGAGCAACAAGACACTCAGAAGGGGATTAATGACCTAGGGATTTTAATATTTCCAGATGAATCAGATGAACAAAAGCCAGAAGAATCAAGATCAGAATGGATAAAAAGGATGCATAAAAAAGTCATAGAAAGAAATCAAAAGGAAAAAGAAGAAGTAGAATTTCTTAAAGAGAATGGTTTAACAGATAAAGAAATCAAACAGAGAGTAAATTCTGAAATATATAAGAAACAACATGTAGAAATAATTGGAAAAAATCTATATTTAGTTAATTTAAAAAAAAAGGAAGATATTTCAAATTGGTATATAATGATGAAAATAATAAGGAAAAAATCATAGAAGTTGCTTCTTTCTAAGGTAACATGATATTTAGAAAAAGTTATGTTAACAATCCAGAAAGATCATATAGAAATCTTTTCTTAATAAGTAAATAGAAAGATAAAATCCTATTGTTATTATCAGTTCTTTTATATTACTTAAATGTTATAAGCGGACGGATAATATGTGTGGTAAGTAAAAGGTTTAATTTATAGTTGAGATGTAGGTATCAATAGTTTATTTGATATATACTAACAAATAAGTACTGCCTCAAATTTCAACACTTCTATACTGTATAAATGTTCTAAATAATCAAACTAAACTAATCTAAACTATTTCTATAAGTCTTTTTCTTGAGTAAACTTCCTGAATCTCTAAGGATTCTCAACTCATATTTATATAAAATAAAATATATATAATCATTAACAACGTTAAATAAATAAACTAAGTATAATAAATAAACTATATTAAATAAAGAAAATAAGTTAAATAAATAAACTAAATTAACTATGTAAACAAGATAGATGACGTAAATAAGGTTAACAAGGTTAACATAGTTTTTAAGAATCTACATTAGGAAGATCATACTAATGATTTTGTGTAATACTATCTACAGAAAATTTCGCATATTCCTTTAATAAAATATGATAATTTAAATGATTATGCTAATATACTATATATACTTCAACTTTTTGCATCTACATATAAACCAATGATAAATATTCTTAAGGAAAAGCTTTAAAAAAAAGATCAAATAAAGTTATCATTGGTCATATATGTCACATATTTATCATACAAATATAAAGGTAGTGATGATATTACAGATCAAGTAAACTATGATGCAGAATATCACAATGCTCATTATAGAGGAAATATGCATGTAATTTTTTCAGAATATGACATAAATGATCATATAATAAAATCAGCTAGAGAAATTTATGAGCATATTTAAAAGAAGGTTCTAGCAAAATTTTTATTTGACTAGAAATGATATTATGAGATCCATTAACTTATTGAAGGTTGAATTAAACAAACAATCAATTTCCTCTTTGATGAATTCTTAATTCGTATATAAAATATGATAGAATTTTTGCTTTAGTGGCGAAGCATTTCCTATATTGATGGTATTGGTTATGAAATTTGTTTTTTCAAATTGATTTGATTTTCAAATAAATAAATTCACATATTTAACCATGAATTCATTAAACTTCTTTACTTATTTATTGGTAAGTGATCTAATATGAAAGGTTCCTTTCTCTATTTCTTTGTATTAGTAAAAGGATTCTTTAATATCATATGATTCTGCAGTTGGTTTTTCTAATTTCTGTTCAATTGATATTGTTTTCTCAATTGAGATTTCTTTTGTATAGTAGAATAATTCTTTTGTTCATTTTGTTCATTGTCTTCTTCTTCATATTTCTCTTCTTTATATTCCTCCTCACTTTCATTATTATCGACTGGTTCAGTTCTTATAGTTAGAGATTGTTAAAATTCAATGAGAACATTAATGGTATTATTACGCTAGTTCTTTAAATCGCTCGACTTAAATAAGCAATATATGTATAAATGCAGAAGGTTTCCTTCAAAAAGAATATGAAAAATAAATTAAAGATTTATAAGTGTGATAGAAATATGATAAATATGCATAGGATAAATGATTAACAAACAAAATTATAGTACTGCCTCTGTCAGCGTATCTGTACTAAATAGTTTATTTATTAAAGAATTTATAACTACTAAAACAATCTTTAAGAAACTTATAAAAACTTATAAAAACCTATTGCTACTTAATTCTAAACTACTCCTATTTATATAAAAACTATCCTATATATCGTTATAATAATTTAAATAAAGAAAATACAGAAAAATAAGATAATAAATAAAATAGATAAAATAAATATAATAAAATAAATAAAATAAATAAATAAAATGGATAAAATGAATTAAATAAACTATGATGTCAATGCAGTGTGTAAAATTTGAACTAAAAGTAATATGTATAGTATGCACATTTTTGTGATGTCATATGTGCACAAAAAATTTTCAATGTGCACTAAAATTTTCTAAAAATAGTATATGCACAATATGAGCACTATAAAATAATTGGAAAAATGTGCAAAAAATGTGTATAGATAAAATTTAATGTGCATTAAATGTGCACAATACCAAAACTATAGTACAGTCAAACCTTCATATAGTCACACCTTATATAGTCACACTTCTTTATAAGTACCCATTTTTGTGAAATAGATTTTAGCACTATCAAATTACCTCCATATTAGCTATAGTTATTATCACGTAAAAATTTGAATGTATATATTACTCTAATTAGTAATTAAACCTCTAATAGTTACACATGAATTTTATTAATGTATCAATTGATCTATTTTCTCTATTTTCAGTAAATGCATATAAAATTTCTCAATTTTTTTTTTTTAAAAAAAAGTTTTAATTGTTTCAATTTTTTACGAATCTTTAAAAGATAATTATCATTATGTTGTGGTTTGTTTGAAATGAAGAATTTGGACTTATGATATTATTTAAATAATCATTCAACCTTGTGCTATCGTAATTAAAGATAAGGAACGAAACTCAAAAAAAATAATTAATAAACAGCTGAAACTATATTAAAACATAGTGAGGGGTACAACGAAATCCTGAAACCTAAAATTAGCTGAAACTATATTAAAAACATAGTAAGGGATATGACGAAATTATTTTGAAGGAGTTTTGGCTGGCATCTTTAATCGTAATACATTTAAATTTATAGAAAATCATTAATCATGACACAAAAAAACAACATGAAAAAAATCTCTCTCACACCAATGCCTCCTCTTAGAATCAAACTAACTAAACCGCTCAGCCATAAGTGATGTAGTAAAATGTTAAATATGTGAGTGGTCAGAAGCAAATGAAAGTAAACGGCATGTGAATATTGCAAACTACTTCAATAAAATATACTCTAATTTGAGCATTGATAAAAATACAGTTTCAAAAATTCTGTTACAAAGTGACAAATGAAAAATCATAAATACTGAAGATTCCATTCAAATCTTTAAACAAGTTTCCAGTTTTTGAGCATGCAATGAGCCTATGAGTAAAAAATGCAACAGCTGGTGGTATTATATTAACAAGTTTATTAATAAAAGAAAAAGCAAAAACATTTGCTAAAGCTTTTAATATTCAAGAAAAAGATTTAACTTTTTCTAATAGATGGTTACATAAGTTTGATATAGATTTACCTTTTTCCAAATTTCACAGATTTTTTAATAAGGTTTTAATATAATTTAAAACCAAGTTTTACTTTTACCATTTAGACGTCTGTCTAAACTCATGATTTGTTCAGCAACCTTAGGCGTAATAATATTTGTAGATACCGCATACATGGAGAATTAGGAAGCATATCTTTAGCATCTCTTGCAGATGAACAGACAAGGTTACAATTAATTTTAGGTTAATATACGCTTGACTGAATTTATAACATTGACGAAACAGTGAGTTTTTTAGTTTATTAAAAAAATTTATGGGTTAGTATGAGATTATCAGACTTACATTATTAGAAGTTTTTAAAAAAATTTACACTTCATCACTTATTACTTCTCACTCTTAAATTTTCACATTTTACTTTTTACGCTTCTCCAACTTTTCACTCTTAAATTTTTTATTATTTAAATATAAGGCCTTTTTTATCAAATGTTTTCCAACCAAACGCTTTCAACAAAGCCAGTTCTCAGCTGAAAGAAAGATAAATCACGAATTACAGTCCTTCTTGGTACTAATGCAACCAATACTAATAAGTTGAAACCATAGGTAATTGGCAATTCTAAGCACCAAAGATCTCTTTTTAGGGTTAATTTAACGAATCTTCCTATCTATTATCGATCTAATCCTAAAGCATGAATAAACTTATCATTATTCAAAGAAGTTCTTTGTGAACTTGATAGCTGATTCAGAATGCAAAATACAAAGATCTTGCTTTTAGTTAATAATGCTCTATCGCATTTCAACCTATACTTACCAGCAATAAAGACCGATTAAGATGATTATGATGATGTTGATGATAATGAATCATCTGATAAATTTTTTTTTTAAAAAAATTCTAATTGGTGTAACTTAATTATAGAAAATCAAGTTATAAGAGGTTATATTGATCGTGAATTGAGAGATCGTGGTGAATCAAGAGGTCGTGACAGATCGAGAGGTCGTGATGAATTGAAAGGTCATAGCTATTATGGTAAATCAGAAAGACATGATACTTTCCAGCTTTAACTAACTTATATTGAAGTAATTTTCCTATTTCCTAATACAACAAGTCACTTTCAACCGCTCGATGCTGGAATCATTACAAGCTTCAAAAACCACTTTAAGAGGAAGTATTGTCATCATATGCTAGATCTATTTGAAGATGAAAAAGATATAAATAGTGAAAAAATTAACATAAAAGAAGCAATTAACTATATTACAGAAGCATAGAGCTGTATAGCCGAAGAAACAGTATTTATTGAACTGTTAGAGAAAAACTGGAATTTTACCTTCTTCATCTAATGAAGATAAAGATAATGCATCATAAACTCAACAAGAAGAAATGGATAATGAGATAACTGATATTGATCAAATGATTAAAGAGCTTGATATAGATAATCTTTCAGCTTTTTTATTAGCTAATACATTAACTGATTTTTTTAAAGAATTGGAAGAAATTCCAACTGAGGAACTTTTAAATGAAAATGATATTATAAGATTAATCCAAGAGAAAGCATGTGATCAAAATAGTGATTCTGAAGAAGAAGAAGGTTTAATATCTTCTAGTGATACTTTTAAATCTATAAAGACCTGGATTTCATTTTTTGAGCAGCAATATACTAAAGAATTTCATGTAAAGGATTTAAACCTTTTTAAAAAATATTTTAAGATAGTTAACTGGTTTGAGCGACAATCCCGAAAGCAGTCATCAATTACAGATTTTTTTAGTACTTAATTAGTTTTTGATAGCTTTTATATGATGTTTTAAACATTTTAATATTTAATAAATAAATAATTTTGAATACATCATTTAATAAAATTTTATTTAATTTTATTTAAATGGTGATATTGAAAATAAATAATGTTACAAATGATGTGTTACAAAAGTAATGTGTTACAAAATTGATGTATTACAAGATTTTACAAGATTTTGTATTACAAAAATATGTTATGAAAATCACTTCTATATAGTCATCTCACATATTATAGTGATTATATAAAAGTTACCTTTTTGCCAGTCACATCTCCATAAAATCACCAATTTTTGTGAAACCGATTAGGTGATTATATGGAGGTCTGACTGTATACTTATTATTATTATACATATGATACTATATTATGCACGTGATTATAATAATAAGTAAAAATATTATCATTGGTATTTACATATAATATATAGTTATTTTATATATACATTAAGATTCTGTAATTGTTGTCATAATTATTTTTTCTCCCAAAACTATTATGACCAACAACAATAGCGGATCTTAATCACAAATTATTGCTTGTAAATTTAATAATAATAAATTGATAATTGCAAAATATTAAATGTCTAATTTCATGGGTAAATTGGAAATAAACTTATATAAACTCAGCATTGATCCCTTGAAAATAATCTTTAATCACTGAATATATCATGACTTGTGATTATTACAAGAAATTAAAACCATGTCATTCGAATTTGCTGAATTCAATCCCTTTAAAAAATATTCGTGTGATCCAAAAGCATTATTAATATAGAAATTAAGTAAGAAATAATAATATAGAATTAATAAAACTAATTTTTTTTTGTTTATCCTCCTTTCTAATTCTACTTATTTCTAGTTTAATTTGATTGTTTTCTAATTTGATTTGATCATTTCTTATCTTACGTATTAACTTCTCTTGACTTTGAAATGTCTCGATAATCTCATTTATCCTTTTTTCTATATTGTAAAGTTTTTCTTCTACAGAATTATCTTTTGATATTTTAGATAAGTACTTGGGTATGTCCTGATCCAAATCCCATATGTTCATTAGCAACAAATAACATTCTGATGAATTGGCTCTTTTTATAGAACCCTTTGTATAACCATCCTTTACCGATATCACATAAATTCCAATGGTTTTATCTTTATCAAATCTTGCTATGACACTTTCAAAAGCACAGATATAATCAACTTCAATTTTGTTGGTATAATTTTTGCATTGAATCAGAAGCAGATAATGATTATAATTGCCGAAGATATCTATATGGCCATCTCCTTTAGATTGACTAATAAAAAATTTTTATAAGCAAATGTCATCATTATCGTAAAGGTAAATGCTGGGATCATACAGTTATTAATCTATACATCCTATTCACCATTTCGGATAATAGACAAAACAGAGAAGGATGTTTACAAGCAATTATCACTTGACCCTAGTGACATCCCCTGTAGCCACGATGCGCTTCCAGTTTTCTGTTTATCATATCATCCTTAATGGCAGCGTAACTTCAGATGCATAACGACTAAACAATTACTTAATGAAATAAATATCTCACCTCACTCTCTGACAATCAATTTTTATATTTCTAAATGACTTAAAAACTTTGATTTCGAACATATTGCTCTTGCAAACAGTAGAAATTTTAGAAGTGACCATTGTTACTAAGAAAATTTCATCTACTGAATTAAATATTATGTATTATATATTGGTTCCAGTCTCAAAAAAAAAATAGTCTCAACTCATAAACTTAGTAATGAAACATACACTTACATAACATTTTTGGTGATGTGGAATTTTTTTTTACATTTTGTTGCACAGTCCCATCAGGAACCCGTAAAAATTTTTTGTGTTGACTTTCATTAATCTGATCTTCGCTTATAATTTATTTCGCTTACGGGTATATGAGAAAAAGAAAGAACCAATAATTAAGAAGAGCTTTACATATCCATATAACTGAGCATAATATTATCAGGTTGCATTCTATACACACCTTCTTAGAATCATCCAATTTTTATCCTGTAGATATAATAAGAAAACATTAAAACATGCTCATCATATAACAAGAAAAACTGACAATTTTTTTTTCCGTTTTGTCTATTTACCAAATTAAACACAACAGGTTGGAAATAGACATCATCTTGGTATTGATTAAGGTCTCGGTAATTTCTTTCTGTATCATAATCATTGGGATCCAGCTTCTTGTGCTGTGGTAACTCAACAGCTCAGCCTAGTAGAGCGTAGCATTAATTAGAAAGCACAAGGAAAAGAAAATCACAACGCTATGTTTAGCAAGATGAGTTACATGCTGAAATGCCACACGTTCGATTAACATATCCTTCTTTTTTTGGAAAATCATCTTTTCGTTCTCAAGAGTCACCAGCTTTAACTTGGGAAATGAAAAGAAAATGAATATTTAAAGAAAGACGAGTATCAATGGCAATATGAGACCTACTTCATGATTTTCTATGATAATAGCATATTTTTCTTTGCCAATTAGATGCTTTTCTTGGATAATTGCATTCCAAAATACAAATATCTTCTCTATTTGTTTCATCCTAAAATAATAAAAGTACGAAAAATATCATAATAAGGTATAGTGGATGCATTTTTACAAAATAAGATAAACAAGAAAGTGACTTATTTTAACTTTTTAAAATATATTTAAAAATAAGGTGGCTAACATCGAACACGTATAATTAATTCATCAATGACTTGGACCTAGAATAGTGATATCCCTTCCTGTTCATATTATCAGCGTTATGATATTGGTATAACATGTATAGTAAACTTGGGGATGGAAAACTCTCTCTCCTATTTTACAAAACCAAAATTTTCACAAGAAAAATAAAAATTTAAAAGTTCGTTTTTAACAAAAAAACTAATTAATAAACCCAGTATAAAAAAGGTTTCTTTTGTTTTACCCACCTTCTTCACTATACAAGAGAGTTATAATGCGTAAAAACGCTGCAAAACAACAAAAAATTAGTGACCCCAAGTTCATTTCATACGTCGCTCCTAAAGCCCCAAAGGAAGCTGTTATTTCTACACCAGCTCTTTCGTCTTCTTCAACCTTAACTTCTGTCCCCACCAACTTAGATTTAGAAATTGTTCAAGAAGTTTTTGGTTCGCTACTAGAAAAAACAATGGATTTTGAATTCTTTGACGTATCTAAAATTGCCACTTCCAATAAATTTTCACCAGTTATTCCACCTTCGAATAACAACAATAATAATAACAACAATGTTGATAATGTTCCTAAAAACACTTCTTCAACCAAAGATAAATCAAAACTTTTAGACCCTGACGAATATCTCAAAGACAATGATATGGAAGAAGACTTAAAAGATTTCACAGTTGTTACCAAAGCTACTCCCTTTGCAGTTGCTAGTTATATCAAGTTTACACCCAAAGAAAAGAACAACAACAAAATTATTCTCGCTATCAATAATGACTTTGCTCAAAATGACGATTTTCGAGGAGTTTCAGTTCATCGCGTAAATTTGACGCATTCTGTAATTGTCTATTTTGCGATGTCAGACGCTGCTACAGCAGCCTTACACGTGACTATTCCTGATCTCAAGATCGACACATTCTGTGACTTCTCCCAATACAAAGCTAATATGCAATTTAACAAAAGAACTATTCATGTCACCGATATTCCTCTACAAATGAAGCCTGCTAATATCAAACAAGTTTTCGCCAAATATGGATCTATTACCGATTTTAAAATGACAGTAAGAGGCATGTGACAAAATGCCTACATTACTTACAAAAATCCCAAATGCATTAAGCTATTTCATCAAGTATGGAGTCGTTTTGTTCAAAATGATTCCGTTCGTGTCACTTTGTCTCCAGAAGAAATTAAATATAGGAATACACATCGCATCAAATTCCTTTTGGTACCTCTGCAAGAGACCTACATGATATTATTCTAGCTACTAAAGCTAGAGCTAGTTATATTCCTAGATCCAACAATTATAAGCCTCGTCCTTTTGTTATTTTATACTTTGAAAATAAAGAAGCTCTCAACCATGCAACTTAACAAAACTTTGCTTTTGGTAACAATCAACTAATGTGGTGTTCTCCTGATGCTAAAAGCTGTCACAAATGTGGCGATCCAGCTCATCTTGTTATCAAATACCCCTTTTTACAAAAATCAGTTACATCAAACGATAATGAAGAACTTATTAAACTGAAGACACCCACTCAAAACAATTCAATGCAAAGACTCTATAACAAATACAAACCTGCTGGCTTTAGAAAATTTGTTGATTCTAATCGATCAAACCGTTTTTCCAAATCTTATTCTGAAGCCATTAAAAACAAGAATACTACACTCCCACCACCACCAAAAGATGTTATCAAACCAACTGTGAAGGATTCTATTCACAATCCGAATAACGAAATCAATAATAAATTAAATCAGATCCTCTCAATTCTCTCTAATATGAAAAAGGATATGAATGATCTTGATGCTAGAATCGCCAAACTTGAATCTCTTCAGGCTTCTTCTTCAATTATGTCTACAGAACCTCCTTTAACTGTTATTAA